CAGTTTCACACAACCGCTAACAAAGAACGAAAATAAGAAACCTTGGAAACACACACCTCCACATTCAAGCACAATACACACTGGAACATCCATTATGAACTGTGCAAACACACTTCGTCACTGGGTTCAGGTGGTCTCCTTGCAAAAATAAATCCATTCTTTATTTGTAATACCCACATTGGCCCGGCATGCTCGGGGTTTTGTGCAAGATTCTTTGAGCAGGAAAAAACCTTGGCTACTTTAGAGAAGGACACTAACATATTCTACAACCTTCTTTCCACCCATACATCTCCACACACTCGCTCTTCTTAAGCCACATCAGAATGCACGGCTGGGATTTCGTTGCTTTTTAGGTCTGAATGGGAGAAAAACTTCATGATATTTAAAGTCCCTCCACCGGGCGTGTTGTGGTTTTGGAAACGACGGCTGCTTATTGCAAATCAAAGTGGCACTAAGTCTTGTTTAATGGGTTTTCATTTCACCTTCGGGAGCAGACAGACATTTCCACGTTTGAGGCCGGGACCAAAAGCACGGTGTGAGAAATGGATTTAACCCGTTCAACCAGAGAAGATGTACTATGTGTGAGGAAATGGCGGTAAATGTGTTTGCAAGGCACTAGAAAAGTTGTGTGTTGGTTGGTGGTGGTTAACAAGTGGTTTATCACATAATTTATTGAAAATTCTCTTTAAAAGCTGTTGTTGGCTACTGTCTATTTAGGAGAGATGGGGAAATCGTTGCCTTGGAAACACTTAAATAACATTAGACTGTTGTAGAAATGCTTCCCACTGGTAGAGAATAACAATAATAGCAGTAAGACAATAAACCAAATAGGGGCAACTTAAAGCTGGGGTATGTAAGTTTTTAGGTGAACAATACATTTTACTTTTGTCCTAACAGAGTTCTTTAAAAGTAAAATCTTGTGTCTACATCTGTTAGAAAACATGTTATCTTTTGTATACTTGGAAGAAAGAGCCCTGGGAGTCACTATTTTGGAAAGTTTGCCTGGGAGCTGATTGGCTGGAGTGAGGGTGGTCCTCTCTTTTCCGCTTTTCTGTCGGAAAAAGCTGATCTAAACATGTGACAGAGGCCAAATATACATGTGAGAACTGAGAGAGTGAGAAACAATTATTATTATTATTATTAAACACAGAAACCATCGGTCCAAGGGGAGCAGGACGACCACAGTCTAGAAATGGGCATAAGACATACCTGTTACTTACAAACAACATTCTGATTCTAAATGTCCCGGATCATCACTGTCTTTGAACAAGCACGATAAACCAGTGAATCTCGTGGGGGAGAAGCACATTGAGAGAGGGGTCTACTCCCACAGATGAACAGGAAGTAGAATCGGTCCCGAGACTAGAGACCCAAGCGTTACTATTTTAACATGTGGATGGACAAATGCTGGGTTCCTATAATGCAAAAACCGTTTTCATGTATTATTACTGCAGTAGCCAAAAGTAAACATGTGAGGAACCTAGAGTAGTAGTAGTAAAAGTAGCAGTATTAGTAACAGTAATAGTTGCAGTAGTAGCAGTATTTGATGCTGTGGATGTGTCCCCAGGAGCAGCTGTGCCCCCCTGCTCTACTGCTGGACGAGGGTCTGGTCAGAGCGGTGCCGCTGCTGCAGACTCTTCTGGAGGATGGAGGTCACAGGAGCCAGAGCAGGAGCCTCGTCTCCCTGTGACTCTGGGACAGTCCCCCCCAGGACCAACTCATCGTCATTCCCCTTTGTTTTTATAAAAAATGTGTTAAACTATCAAAATATAATACTTTGAAAAAAAATGACGTTTCTGTCTTTTGTGTAAAATGAAACTATCTTATGGATAGAAGATAGAGAATAATTATGTTGTTCATATTTGTACAGCCGTAGATGACAGCAGCAGTCGTCTCTGAGGACTGTCCAAATGACCTTTATGAAATACCTTTACAAAGATAATAAATACTTTGGGATTTATATATTCTGATTTATCTGCTGTTAACTTTGGTCAAAGTTTATATTTCTAAAATGGAACATTTTGATAATAATAAAGACATAAACCAACCATATATATATATATTAAAATGGCTATTTCCCAACAATGCAGTGGAATAATATGTAATATATAATAACATGAAGTGAAAAATTATTTGTTTTTACTTTGACTTTAAGACTGTCACTTTATTGTTACTATCATGCTCCATGTAGCCGTCTGTGTTCAAATATAGTTTATGAACGTAACGATCTAAAATCACCTGGACACCTCCTCCTCTGATCTGTGGCTCCACCTCTACTGTGGTCCTCCATTGTCCTCTATGCCTTAGGACTATGGAGGCATGTTTATTTGTATAGCACAGTGCAAAACAAGTCAATATTTAAATTCATACACTGATACACTGGGATAATCACAGTAGGCTACATAAAACTTTTTTAACCGGGATTACACAGCCTTGTCTCTCTGTGCAGATTGTTCCCACTTATAATTAGAGTGAAAAGCACAGATGTGTTTGAATCCACACAATTATTTTTTTATTTGTGTGTAAGTTGTGCTTCTTGGGTGTCCCTTCACAAACCTACACATCTGAGTATAAACGATGTGGATTCAACTAATGTTTGTGAGCAAATGAATAAATAAAAATAAAAATAATAATAAAAAATAATAATAAAAAAAAAAAATATTAATAAATAGAGTACAGACCCTCATCTTCACAAAGGCTCATCACCAAAGGCTTCTCGAATATATTTTCCCAGTGCTTTTAGAGAAAACATACCCGGGTGTGTTAATATTTACAGTCTATGGTAAAGGGTAAGTGTTTGATTGACAGGCGGCTCTCACACGTGTTAAACCAGCTGCGCCCCTAGCGGTCAGATGAGGCAGTGCAGCAGCAGGTAGAGGCGGCCAAGACTGAAGTCCTTTCCCCGGGAGTCACTTGGATCTGCTTCGGTGTCTGCTCCTCTAAACTCCCCTTCTCTCGCTGGTAAGACCATGGTTCCCTTCAGACGCACCAGAAACGCACTATCTTCCATTTTAACTGTTTTTTTTTTTCTTTGTGTTTGTTTGGCACGTTTTTCTGCAGAGTTCTAATCACCGCCATGTTCAGAATTACAAATTAGTTTTACTTTTGTATATTTTCCCGGTTCAGAAAACACGTGAAAAATTGACCTAAATTACACTTTGAGTTTCAATTGTAAATATTCATTATTTTATGGCTTTTTTTTTTTTACTTCAACAAATTCTACTGCGCATGTCCATGTATTTCCCTCTTATATCTACACGTTAACAAAAGTAATGATGGAAAATATTAAAGATGGAGTACCTAAGATTGTCCATTGATACCACGTCAAGTTCTATTTGACCCTGTGAGTTTCTGATACACTTTCTGTCGTTTGTGGGTTGAAAGCTGATCAGCTGAGTGATGGTGGTCGTGTTTTTCTTAATTTTTCTGGCTGAAAAAGTTGATCCAAGGCTGAAAATACATTAAGAAGAGTGATTGCTGCAAACTGTCATGAGAGCGATTGAGTTTATTTTTTTATAGTTCATTTTTTGTGTTTTCAAATTTAAATGAGATGTCCTGAATCTACCTCGGTCCTGGATTTCTACTGCCTCAGTTCTGGATCTACAGCCTCAGTCCTGGATCTCCACTGCCTCAGTCTTGGATCTAAAGCCTCAGTCCTGGATCTACAGCCTCAGTCCTGGATCTACAGCCTCAGTCCTGGATCTCCACTGCCTCAGTCTTGGATCTAAAGCCTCAGTCCTGGATCTACAGCCTCAGTCCTGGATCTCTACTGCCTCAGTCCTGGATCTCTACTGCCTCAGTCCTGGATCTCTACTGCCTCCGTCCTGGTTCTACTGCCTCAGTCCTGGATCTCTACTGCCTCAGTCCTGGATCTCTACTGCCTCAGTCCTGGATCTCTACTGCCTCAGTCCTGATCTCTACTGCCTCAGTCCTGGATCTCTACTGCCTCAGTCCTGGATCTCTACTGCCTCAGTCCTGGATCTCTACTGCCTTAGTCCTGGATCTCTACTGTCTCAGTCCTGGATCTCTACTGTCTCAGTCCTGGATCTCTACTGTCTCAGTCCTGGATCTCTACTGTCTCAGTCCTGGATCTCTACTGTCTCAGTCCTGGATCTCTACTGTCTCAGTCCTGGATCTCTACTGTCTCAGTCCTGGATCTCTACTGTCTCAGTCCTGGATCTCTACTGCCTCCGTCCTGGTTCTACTGCCTCAGTCCTGGTTCTACTGCCTCAGTCCTGGATCTCTACTGCCTCAGTCCTGGATCTCTACTGCCTCAGTCCTGGATGTACAGTCTCAGTCCTGGATCTCTACTGTCTCAGTCCTGGATCTCTACTGCCTCAGTCCTGGATCTCTACTGTCTCAGTCCTGGATCTCTACTGTCTCAGTCCTGGATCTCTACTGTCTCAGTCCTGGATCTCTACTGTCTCAGTCCTGGATCTCTACTGTCTCAGTCCTGGATCTCTACTGTCTCAGTCCTGGATCTCTACTGTCTCAGTCCTGGATCTCTACTGTCTCAGTCCTGGATCTCTACTGCCTCAGTCCTGGGTCTACAGCCTCAGTCCTGGGTCTACTGGTCTTTCCAAGGGATCAGACTTCTCAAAATATGGGCCTACCTGAGTTTTTATTCCTCACTGGATGATTTGAGTCGTTCCTTGCCGATGCAGGAGGGCCTGAAAAGCAATGATGATCCTGTGTGTTTGTTATTATTCCAGTGTTCGAACGTTTTTACTCTCTGATCTTCTATAAGTGAATCGACAGCTTTGTAAACTCCTCCGACATGTCTGCTTTTGTGATTTAGGGCTGTACAGGAATACATTGAATTGAATTGAAGTCGGAGAAAATGCATAGGACAAGTACTGATATTTTTTCTCCTTCTTTCTTTTAACTGCATGTGTTGTTTGTTACTGAATGTTATTGTGAGATTGTGTTTTTCCTTCTGTCTCATTTATTGAACTATACAAAGTTATGATCCAGGACTGTGTTTCAGACTGGAGAGCAGCATGAGAGGCCGTGTGACTTCGGCTCAGGCCAAGACGCTGCTGCACAACAAGTTTGTGGTGGTTCTGGGAGGATCAGGTCAGACTGAACTTCATCCAATCACAAAATATGACAAATCCTCCATCTGCTGTCCGAACATTAGCTTTTGCTATTTCGGACGTATGAGAATAGATCCATGGCTTCCTAGAGTGTTTTTTTCACAGCACACAATAGATAGAAACACACCTATCCATTCAAACAAATAAATACAAAATTCATTCATACAAAGTTGCTTCAATAGTAATGTAACAGCAGAATAATACAAGACATTTTTTAATTCAATTGGATCGATTGGTTTTATTTTGGTCACATCAACAAAGTCACAGTTCAAACCTAAGATATGATATGATAAAATGCAACCAGAATCAGAAAAGGCAGAAGCAGGTTATTCGAGCCTGTCCTAGTCTACACCATCAGTTTAACCAGTTTTTAAGCTCTATAGAATTTAACAAACAAACAAAAAAATGTGAAACTCAAGATACATTTTATATTGTAACAAAGAAGTACATTTTTTCAAATCTTTTGTTAATTCATTCCATCATTTCACTCCGAGAACAGAGACACACCCTGATTTCACTTCAGTTCTTGCTTTATTAGATTCAAAAATAAATAAACCTCTGAGACTAACGGTTTTCTGTTAGTTTGAAGAAGCACTTTGGGATTTACAATTTTAATAATGCAAGACATATGTTTATTGGCCGTACAGGACACGTATGTAGATTGTTTTACATTGAAAGCAAATATGAAATCTGTCCCAGGGCTATCTATATCTATATATTATTCTAGCCCTCAGCTCCACTTCTCTTCATCTTCTTTTCTATTGTTTAAAAATCACAAACTAATGCCGTTGTGTGTGTTTTATAATCGCAGTTCAGCGTTCCATGTACAAAGATCTGGTGCGACTCCTTCAGACAGACCGCTTCCTGACCATGTCTCAGCTCAAGACCAAAGTAAGGCCTTTCCTCCTCCACTGATCCCCTGGTCACATCCAAAAGTATGTGAGTGTTGTACCTCTCTGTGCCTGCAGGGGGAGCACTCGTTTGAGAGTGACCATCTGGTGGAGGGCGGTCAGCTGGGCGTCCTGTCCAATGGCACAGACTACAGAGAGGTGCGGGAGTTCCACACAGACCACCACCTGCTGCGCTTCTACTTCATCACACGAGTCTACAGCCCGTACATGCAGAGGGTCCTGGACGAGCTGAGGGAGGGGCCGCCGCCGGACCTCGTCATCGCCAGCTCCTGCGCCTGGGACATGACCCGGTACATCATCATCATCATCATCATCATAATAACAACCATAATAATAATAATCATCATCATACTAACAACAACATTCACAACTACAACTACAATCACAATAATAATAATAACAATAATCATAATAATAATAATCATCATTCATAATGATAATAATAATAACAACAACAATAATAATCATAATGATAAGAACAATAGTAATCATAATCATAACAAGAATCATAATTCTCAAATTTACTTATGTTTTCTCTGACTTAAAACATGTAATTTATTATTATGTTATTATTCTTTACTTCTGCCTACTCCTTTTGAGCGCTATATAGAACTTAAACAAACATTATTGTATATCGCTCTGAGCTCATATAACCTCAAAGTGCTTCATCTTAAAATACAAAACCACAAACAAACAAAACATAGCAAAATCAGAAATAGATAAAAACATCAAGGGGTTAAAAGCTCATAAATTCCCTAGTAGGCCTAATTAAAAGAAAGGTTTTAAGGCCTCCTTTAAAGGCCTATAATAATAATAAATATAATAATGCATCAGTTTTATACTTAATTCTTGCTTCTTCGTTATATAATCAAGAAAGCATTTAATTTATGTGTATTTAATGCTGGTTTCTTTTTCTCATTATACATGTAAAGCTGCCAATAAAGCTCATATAAAGGAATCAAGATGTATTTTAACCCTTTAAGGTTCACTCCTTGAAGAAAGCAATGTCATGTTTTTTGATTTTCTAAGCTGTAGGAGAATGAATAACAAAAATAGTTAGATTTTAGTTTTTTTGTTTTAACCCCTACTATAGGCCTAGCATAGAGTTTAGCTGCAGCTTGATGGTCAAAGTGCCTGCTGATAGAGTTGTTGGATTTTCATTAAAGTGAATTAATTTATTCAAAGTTTAGACAGCTTTGGGTTAACCTACGTGTGTGGTGGGATGCAGCATTCTCTCTCCAGTCATGAGTGAAAGACTAGTCTAAATAAGCAGGAAGCCAAAGACATTTGGTTTTGGTTAGTCTGGTATAAGACCAGAGCTCTTTTGCCCATTCCTTGGTCACTCTGCTGCTACATGTAGCTGACCCAGACTGGTGCAGTCTGTAAGCTTGTCTGTTTGTGCTGATGTCCAAATAACCTGTAGTTTTGAACCAGCGGCTGACAACACGTATTAAAGAGATTATGTTGTTCAAATGTGACTAGTTTTATTCACAAATGCACAGCCTAAAGCCTGGTTTAAGTTGGCCAGGGATTGCTTCAGCCGTGCCCAGGCCCGCTTTAAAGCCCGGATGAGGGGGATCCGTTGTGACGGGCATTTTCACACACGTCTCTCCTGCACTTTTGTATTTTCCGCTTGTGTTAAACCTTCCCCTCGACTGTGGTTGAGGGGCGCAGGGGGGGGGTGTTGCTGCAGGGCCAAAGAAAAGCGTTTCCTATGGGAATAACTCCCTCTGTTCTGACCCTCGCTCTCAGTGTGGTGCTGTTGCAATAACACTTCAGACGTTCAAGAATCAGTCTTTATTTAATCACCAGAACACACCTGTATTCTGCCTGTCTCTGGTCGCTCTGCTCGTACGCCAAACTTTCATTCTCATTTATTCATTTGTCAGTGCTCTTACGCTCGTTACGCTCGGAGGCGCGCTCCCGTCTCCGCGGCGCACACACACGTGTACACACACCCACCGAACTGCTGCACTTTGCATCAGAGCAACGTGGACAAGTGTGAGATGTCTTTCCCCAAACAACGCGATCCGTACTCGAGCTGTTAGCTACAGTAGCAGAGCGTAAACAGGACGTCGCTGAAGTCAGTATTAGCGCCACCAGCAGGACCAAACGTTGTACTACAGCACAGTTACCTTGGCATGTTTGCAATAACACGTTCATGTGACCGCGGGCCGTTTTCACACCCCTGTGGCAATGATCCGGGCCACTTGGCCTAGTTCGCTTGTAAAAACCTATGTGACCGTGCCCTAAAACCAAGTGATAGAAATGCCCTTAAGAGGTAGATTTCAGTTCCAAGCTTCAAATAGATTTAGCCATTAATATCATGTTTGTCTGATGTTTTAGGTACGGCCAGAACTGTCTGGAGAAGTACAAGGAGAACCTGCACAGCTTCTTGGGGCAGATGCAGACGCTGGTGTGTGGTCCGGGGCTGGTGCTGTGGACTCTGGCCATGCCTCTGGCCCGGCAGATCCGAGGGGGCTTCCTGGTGCCTGAGGTCAGAGCTGCTTCTCTTTGAGCTCAGATGTTTTAAGTGAGAGTCTGATCTATCTGCCACGGTCTCTTCTGAGCGTGTGCGGACGGTTTTTATCACAGAAGGACAGTCTTAATGAGTTTCTGTGGCCACTTTCTCAGAGGCGAGTCCAAACGCAGATGGGCTGCCCACTCTTCTCCTGAATAACAAGGGCTGTATAGGTTTGATTCAAGGCAAGTTTTTATGTGTAGCACAGTTCATACACAAGGCAACTCAAAGTGCAGATCAAAACAAGATGAAAAACGACATCAATAATCAGAGTGCGTTAATAATGTCCTTCAGTGGTTTTCAGCTAAAAAGATCTGTTTTTAAACTGGATTGAAACTTTGTCAGGGAAGGAGCTGTCTCACATTCAAAGAGTCTTTAGAAACAAGAAATGATTGTGGACTTGAGAATACATTGGTACTTTTTTGTTTGGTGCAGGGTTAACATTTGGAAAGTATAATTTAAACGTAACTTGAGTGGACAATGTCTGAACATATTTAGCCAAAGATGATTGACTTGAAATGTTATGGATACAAATCTCAACAATTTATGATCAACTCGTAGATGTTTGTTGATGATATAATGAAAAAGAAAATTGACTTAAAGGTAAGGGAGAAAAATACTTAATAAAAGGAGGTTAAGAGAGGACAATGGATTATCATTCTGAAAGTAGGGCTAGGTCTATTTTATTAATTCTGTATAATGTTTTGTACTGTAGGAAAAGCTCAACCAGGGACTGAAGTTGAAAATTAGCATTAGCTATACACTCTGTATGTGTCGCATCAGCTGCATCTTTCATAATGTAAATATGTATGTAAATGACTACATTGTCCCTGTCAAAAAAAACAAAACACAAAAAAAAAAAAAACAACTGACAATAGTAAAGTGCACATGTTTAACAGTAAGGAGGGGAAAATCTATTCTGTTGTTGTTTTCTCTGAGTTTATTCTGGTCATTTACATTCGTGTGTTACTTCCACAATGTGGCGCTTATTGCTTGTTGTTGATTATGTCTTGTCCTGTAGACATAATTTATTGCGCAGTGTGTAGTTAAGCTGTAGTGTATAGTAAATGCGTTTTGTGCAGTATGTGGGAGAGGTGTGTAGTAAAGGTGTGGTGTTGTGTGCAGGTGAGTCACTTAGGCCCCTCCCTCTGCTATGACATCATCGAGGCGAACTTCTACAGTGGGCTTCTGGCCGACGCCTACGGTCTGGACACTGTGGACCTGCACTTCCACTTCAGGAGGAGCCTGCAGCACCGGGAGCCGGACGGGGTGCACTGGGACGCTCTGGCCCATCGCTCCATCAGCACCCTCCTCCTGCTGCACCTGGCCCAGGCCTGGGGGGTCCTGCTGAGGGTCCACTCTGCTGGCCCCGCCCCCCCTGGTGAGGAGCTCTGGTCTGTCTGTGGTCTCTATCACTGCGATATCAGTGTCATGTGACATCACTTTGTCTCATCAGTGTCCAAGAGGAAGCGGTGTAAAGTGAAGTGGCCCCCTCCCCCTCCTCCCCCTCCTCCCCCTCCTCCCCCTCCTCACCCACTCAGGGACCCAGGTCAGTGACTGCTCAAGTCTTTTTCTCTCACTAACTGTACGATAATAATGTGTGCTTTCTGTGGGCCAGGACCAAGACCAGGACGAGGACCATGGCCAGGACCATGGCCCCAACCAAGCCCTGTGCCAGGACCAAGACAAAGACCTGTACCAAGACAAAGACCTGTACCAGGACCAGGACTAAGACTTGTACCAAGACCAAGACTTGTGCCAGGACCAAGATCTGGACCAAGACCTGGACTTGGACCAAGACTAAGACTTGTACCAGGACCAAGACCTGGACCAAGACCTGGATCAGGACCTGGACCTGGACCTGGACAAAGACTAAGACTTGTACCAGAAGCAAGACCTGTACCAAGACCAAGACTTGTTCCAGTACCAGGACCTTGGGCAAGACCAGGACCTAGACCAGGACCAAGACCTGGACCAAGACCTGGACCAGGACCTGCACCAGGACCAGGAGCTGGAGCAGGACCAATACCTATACCAGGACCAAGACCAAGGCCATTGCCGGGACCATGGCCAGGACCATGGCCAGGACCAAGACCAAGACCAAGACCAAGACCAAGACCTGGTCCTGGACCTGGACCAAGACCAAGACTTCTACCAGGACCAAGACCTGGACCAAGACCAGGACTTGTACCAGGACCAAGACCTGGACCAAGATCTAGACCTGGACCAGTCCCAGGACTGCGGGGGTGTCCTGGATACAGATCTCCAGGTAACACACTGTAGCTCGTGTCTCAGTGAGTGATGTTTATTTTTCTATCATTTATCGTCAGATAAATTGTTACTAAGGATCAAACTATTATTAACTGGACACTTGACCATTTGTATAGCCCTTAAATACAACAGCAGTCGTCTCAGAGGACTTTACAAAGTTGTCAATTCGCCAACACAGATTAGAGAATCAAACATAGGGGACCATAGGAAGCGGGCGACCAATGTCCAGAAATGTCATTAAATGGTGCATCCCAGATCATGGAACAACTCAAATACGTAATGTTTTTTTTCCTCTTAAATGACCATTTGACCAAGTTCTTCACACATTTTGAGATGTGGATTTAAAGGGGACACACTCATGGAGGTCAAAATGAGGAGTAGAACGTATAAAAAGCTCTGGTTGTTTGTTTGTCCCTGAGGCCTGTGTCTGTGTCTGTGGCGTAACACGAACGCACTTTGGAACGAGCCGCGGAGGCCTCATGAGCCGACCGTCTGCATTAATGGAGAGCCGAGACTGAATTACAAAACGTTTGGAATAATCTGCTGCCCTCGTGCCACAACAGCCAAGGAGACCCCCGCTTGAACTCTGACAAGGTTTTCTCTCCGCTCCCCCCTCGGTTTCTGCAATCAGCTGCTTTTTCACCAGAGCCATGTGATTGCATCGGGCTGGAAATCAGTGGTTATTCACAGATGCCCCGCCCCTTTCTGTGACTGTGGAGTACACACTGTTCTACCACATTGTACTGGATCGACTGACAGAGAACACGGTAGATACAGACACGAATTGGCAAAACATGAAGAAAAGAGGAAAAATGTATAATTTGAGATTCTGAACAATGACTCAAATTAGTGGGTTTCGCAGATGCAAGAGACAAAGCCTCTACATCAATCAACTTTGTTTTGAATACACACTTATTGTCCAACTTTTTCCCATTTCCCTTGAGCTACAATACTGCGAAAATCAAACGGACCATCTGAATAAAGTGTTGGTTTTCATTACTATTATTATTATTATGTGACTTTTACAATTAACATCAATACTCCCACAATTATGAAACAACTACTACTATCATTTCGACTGCTCCCATTCAAACCTGTGGAGTTATGAGAAATTTCCTCCAAAAAAATCACCAGGTTTATTAAAAGTGTTTTTTTGTGGTTGTTTTCCTTAACTTGCTTTTAATAAAACTGGTGAATGTAACTGAAATACTGCTAGCTAGTTTGTTAAAAGGCTAAATGCTAACTTTGTTGCTATGGTAAATAGCACTGGCTCTTCTCTGGGAGTTAAAGGTAAAGAAAGCTGCTTTCATTTAAAGAATAAAATGTGTTTTAATAGAACTAATGAAATAAAAAGGATTTGGTTCATTCTGTGGCTCTCGTTCTTTCAGACGCAGCTGTGAGTGAGTCCAATTGGGACTTCCCTGAACCCGGACTGAGGATGGACCCCTTCCCAGCCCCACGACCACTGAGACAGCCTCCCCCCAGGCCCAGACCCGAGTTTCCAGGTACCAGACCCAAGACGCTTTGATTTGAGTTGTTTTTTTGTTTTGTTTTTGTTTACAGACGTTGTGATTGTACTTCTCAAGAACACACATAACTAGCACTGGCTCTTCTCTGGGAGGTACAGGTGAAGCTACTTACATTTAACAAATACAAGGTGATTTAATAGAACTAATGAAATAATAAGAAACTACTTATAGACTCAGGCCATACCTGCAGGTGAAAGCCAGATCCTGTCATACCTCTGAAGCTAAGCAGGGCAGGGCCTGGTTAGTACTTTGATGGGGGACCTCAGGGAACACCAGGTGCCACAACGGGGCAGCTGTAAGGTGCCAAACTGTTGTTGTGTCCTTAGGCAAGACACTTCACCCATATTTGAATAAGTCTGGTGGTGGGAGGGGCCGATGACACATACTAGTTGCCTCGCTTCTGTCAGTGTGCCCCAGGGCAGCTGTGGCTACAGTAAGTGTAAGTACAGTACATGACTAATGACATGTGAAGCGTCTTTGACTGCTCTGGGAGTTCTAGTGTTAATACGTGAAAGTCCCGAGCGCTGACGGCTGCAGATGTGGCGCCCCTTGAGCAGGAACAGCAGGCACCGTGCACAGCAAGAGAGACCCCCCCCTGGCACTCCTCAGCAGCTGACAGCTCCACCAGATCCTCTGTGTGTGCTGTTGGAATATTTACACTGGCAGTTATCAGTTTGGCATCACGCACAAGGGGACTATCTGCTCGGGTATTTTTCCAACAGACTTCTCCCTAAAACAAAGAAGAAAAAAACATATTGACATTTGCAAACGCGTCCCGCTTGGCAGAGGAACTATTTTAAAAATGATGCTGAAAATCTGCAGTGTTTTGGGTTGTTTGTTCTGCAGGGAGGTTTTTTTTTTTACTTTGCTTTACCTGGTTGGACATGGCATGACTAATACAGTCAGTGAATGAAATATCTGTTATTAATTAAACAAACAATAAATCCCATAAAATCCGATCCAAATGATGACACCCAGGAATTCACAAGTGGATGCTTTTTGCCAAGAAAAATAAGCAGCTTTACCATCAGAGGAGAAAGAACCTCATCCATTACTACAGATTTCTCCCTAAAAAAACCCAAAAAATCGTGTCGCAGTTGGCAGAGGAATTGTGTTAAAACGTGAGACTGTGGTGTTTTGGGTTTTTTGCAGCGCGATAAAAGAATTTGGTTCATTCTGTGGCTCTCGTTCTTCCAGACGCAGCTGTGAGTGAGTCCACGTGGGACTTCCCTGAACCTGGACTGAGGATGGATCCCTTCCCAGTCCCACGACCATGGAGACCACCTCCCCCCAGGCCCAGACCCGAGTCTCCAGGTACCAGGCCCAACATACAGAACATACACTTCGATTTTTTGTTTTGTTTACAGATGTTGTGATTGTGCTGTTCAAGAATACGAGTTGAAAAGGCATGTACGTATCTCAGAATGGGTGCACACAAAAAATTGTAAAATATATAAAATCTATTTGTTTTATTTACTGCTTTTTTCCAAACTATAATCTCTTGATCTGTTATTAATCAAACTAACAAAACAAACAAAAAATTCCAATAAAATCCAATCCAAATAACATCATTGAGCTGCTCTGGGGAGGTCTTAGATAAATGGATAGATACTTTATTAATCCCTGTGGGAGAAAATCAGGTGTCCAGTAGATGAAAAATTACAACAAAAAAAGGATAATTCTAAAAAGCTAACAATAGAAATAATCAGCAACAGTCCTTCAGGTCACAGCAGCAGAGGTGGAGTAGCCGCTGGGTGGAGTAGGAAGGGTCAAAAGGTGGAGTAGCCGCTGGGTTGAGTAGGAAGGGTCAAAAGGTGGAGTAGCCGCTGGGTTGAGTAGGAAGGGTCAAAAGGTGGAGTAGCCGCTTGGTTCAGACCATTTTCTCATCATGATCACATGATTGTTCAGTCCATGAATCCTCTCTGCTCTGGTCTGGACCAGTGCAAAACCATGAACTGTACTGCAGCAACATCTCAGGTAGAAAAAATAAATACAAATTAAAATGTATAGCACAAAACAACAACTGTTTCAGAGCTACTTAGGATTTGCGGCCGTTCTCCAGCGCATTCAAAAGGTCATGCAAGGCATCCCAGGAATTTACACACACTGGAGGCTTTTTGCCATGAAGAATGAGCTTCTTTAAAACATGAGACTGTGGTGTTTTTTTTTTTTTGAAGCGTCATGAAAAGTTTTGGTTCATTCTGTAGCTCTCGTTCTTCCAGACGCAGCTGTGAGTGAGTCCATGTGGGACTTCCCTGAACCTGGACTGAGGATGGACCCTTTCCCAGTCCCACGACCACGGAGACCACCTCCCCCCAGGCCCAGACCCGAGCCTCCAGGTACCAGACCCAAAGTTTCATGCACTTTGATTTGTTTTTTGTTTACAGTAGGGATATAAATCGGTGACCGGTTAACCGGTGGTTGACCGTCACAGCGTTAACCGGTCAAAGCTGTCGGTTAAAAAAAGAAAAGGGGGAGAGGGGAGGTCTCTTAATAACGCTGTTTTAAACTCTATTTGCACGATGTGACGAGCGGGTCTGTCTCTAGATGTGTGCGGCAATGTATTAAACTCCAAGCCGACTTTCATGCCGTACGCGCCGCGCACACACACACACATGCATGCACGCACGCACACACACACACACACATACACGCACGCACGCACACACACACAAGTGCCATTTCACACTCGCGCACCTTTTCCCCGTTCCATTCATACGTAACATCCACGCTGTCACGCTCCTCTGTGTCACGTAGCCCAAATACACGGCTTCAGTCAAACACATGGAACATGTTTGTGCTGCTGGTCCTTGTCATTAGATCAGCTCCACACACATCACTGTATTTAAACTTTAGCGGAGACCTGCGAGACGCGGCTCGTCACTCGCTCTGACCATGTGAACGAGTCGTCGTTTTCTGCTAAAGAGCTTTAACCCGCAACACAGAAGAATGGGATGATTAAAAAAGCAGTTCTCTGTGCGCAAAGGTGCCGAAGCTGTTGTGGGTTTTGGCGCCGCTGTCTTGGCTCTGATCCAGTAGAACGCAGAGCTGCACTTATGAGAAGGATGCGGCTCGAAATGGCTGTTATTTCAAAGAACGTGGAATATTTTAAACTACGCGGTTAACCGGTTTCAACCGGTTAATGAGGCTCGGTGGTCGGTCATGAAAATTCATAGTTTTTTATATCCCTAGTTTACAGACGTTGTGATTGTGCTTTTCAAGAATATTAGTTGAAAATGCATGTATCTCAGAATGAGTGCACAAAAAAAGTAACAAAAATAATGGATTTTTTTAATGATTTTTTTTTTTTTTTTTTTTTTACTATAAGCCGCGTGTTTTTTGTTTTATGTTTTGAAGGCTACGGCTCTTCATCTGTTATTAATCAAACTAACAAACTAAAAAAAAAAAAAATATCTAATAAAATCGAATCCAAATGATGACATGATTGAGCCGCTCTGGGGAGGTCTCAAACTCAGTTCATGCAAGGCGTCCCAGGAATTTACACAAACTGGAGGCTGTTTGCCATGAAGAATGATTTGGTTCATTCTGTGGCTCTCGTTCTTCCAGACGCAGCTGTGAGTGAGTCCACATGGGACTTCCCTGAACCTGGACTGAGGATGGATCCCTTCCCAGTCCCACGACCACGGAGACCACCTCCCCCCAGGCCCAGACCCGAGTCTCCAGGTACCAGGCCCAACATACAGAACATACACTTCGATTTTTTGTTTTGTTTACAGATGTTGTGATTGTGCTGTTCAAGAATACGAGTTGAAAAGGCATGTACGTATCTCAGAATGGGTGCACACAAAAAATAGTAAAATATATAAAATCTATTTTTTTAATTTACTGCTTTTTTCCAAACTATAATCTCTTGATCTGTTATTAATCAAACTAACAAAACAAAAAATCCAATCCAAATGATAACATCATTGAGCTGCTCTGGGGAGGTCAGAGATAGATAGATAGATACTTTGTTAATCCCTGTGGGAGAAAATCAGGTGTCCAGTAGAAGAAAAATTACAACAAAAAAGGATAATTCTAAAAAGCTAACAATAGAAATAATCAGCAACAGCCCTTCAGGTCACAGCAGCAGAGGTGGAGTAGCCGCTGGGTGGAGTAGGAAGGGTCAAAAGGTGGAGTAGCCGCTTGGTTCAGACCATTTTCTCTGCTCTAGTCCAAAGTAAAATGCTAAAGGCTTCATTAGCATTTTTCAAAAAGTTAGCATTCCTCCAGTGGATTTTCACATGATCACATGATTGTTCAGTCCATGAATCCTCTCTGCTCTGGTCTGGACCAGTGCAAAACCATGAACTGTACTGCAGCAACATCTCAGGTAGAAAAAATAAATACAAATTAAAATGTAAAGCACAAAACAACAACTGTTTCAGAGCTACTTAGGATTTGCGGCCGTTCTCCAGCGCATTCAAAAGGTCATGCAAGGCATCCCAGGAATTTACACACACTGGAGGCTTTTTGCCATGAAGAATGAGCTTCTTTAAAACATGAGACTGTGGTGTTTTTTTTTTTTTTTGAAGCGTCATGAAAAGTTTTGGTTCATTCTGTGGCTCTCGTTCTTCCAGACGCAGCTGTGAGTGAGTCCATGTGGGACTTCCCTGAACCTGGACTGAGGATGGACCCTTTCCCAGTCCCACGACCACGGAGACCACCTCCCCCCAGGCCCAGACCCGAGCCTCCAGGTACCAGACCCAACATACTGTACATACACTTTTATTAATTTTTATTTTTTTTTACAGACGTTGTGATTGTGCTTTCTCAAAAATACACGTTCCCTACAGGTCGCCTTGTAAAACATGAATGTTTCTCAGTTTGGATTCACAAAAAACTAAAAACAGATTCATACCAATATTTTTTTAAATAGGTGCAAAATCAATTTTAGTAATAATGATCATTTGAATCTATTAATATGTTTATATTTTTGAATTCTGTTTTTTAATGTTTTCTATTTTTGTTTTAATTCTTTGACATTTTAGTGTTTTGTAAGAGCGATATTTTGATATGTTTTTTTTTTTCTGATGTTGTTGTCAGTTCCAAAAGAATTTCTACAAACTACATCTTCAACAGATCAAAGACAAATGCACCAACATTCTCGGTAAAATGGTTGCCAGGTTTCCATTCTAATTCTCTCAGTAATATTTCTAGTCGATTACTGCACTTTTTACTAAATTCAGAGCAGGGGGAGGTCCAGGCTCGTTCAATTCAATGTAATTTTGTTTTCCCCTAAATTGCAAATGATAATAAATGTCCATAAATGTCCTTAGACCCTCCTGCAGCAGTAAAATGGGGCCAACAATCTTATTTTTTTTTTACACAATTGCAAAGAATCGCTTGTAAATAGATCATATTGCATTGACAGTTTCCTGTATGTACATAATTTATGGACAAACTCTGCAAGATTCCTCCCAACTATAATAATAACTTCTGTCTTCACTCTGAGACGTGCAAAACTTCCTCTTCTCAGCTGCTACTTTTACAACTTCTGCTTTTGTTTTCAAACTAATCTTCACTGAACCTGAAGTTTAGCAAAGAATCCCAAGTACTTTGTTGTTTCTCTGTTGTCTGTCCGTACAAAAAAAAACACGTACAATTATTTTCCCTTTCAGAAAGTTTTTAGGAATAAAACCCAGTGTTTCTCTTTTGGCTCGTTCTCAGCCTTAATTGGAAATGGTGAAAAAAGAACCTTGTGAACGTGTTTTTTTTTTTTTTTTTTGTGCGGCCCTCTCTGCTTCCCTTCCACATGTGAAAAAAAGCTCTAATGACCAAACCTTGGGAATACGAGGGATGAGTTTTGTGACAGAAGTGGATCAGAGGTACTCGTTCTACTCCCTCCCTCCCTCGGCTCTTCGTAGTCTTACATTCTAGCCTCTCAGTGTCCAGCGCCTGTTATCTGTATTATTGAAGACTTAAGTTCTATCCTCCTGGACTCTCGCTCTCTTCGTTCTCCCTGTTGTTACATTCACAATCAGGAAGCTCACAGGCTCCAGAGGCTCACTCCAAACACAGCATATGCCCAGAAATATAAATATATTTATATACAGCTACAGTAAATAATAATAATAATAATACATTTGATTTAAAAGCGCCTTTCAAAACAGAATAAAACAGTAGTGCATTATGGGATGGTGGCTGCGTGTGTGTTAGGTGGGGTAGGGCAGTCTGAACAGATGGGTTTTGAGTCTGGATTTGAAGAGTGGAAGAGAGTCAATGGTACGGAGGTCAGGAGGGAGAAAGTTCCAGAGCTGGGGGGCAGAGTGGCTGAAGGCTCTGTGTCCCACAGTGATGAGTCTGGCTGGGGGGACGGAGAGTGTGAGGGTGGAGGAGGAGCGGAGTGTGCGGGCAGGAGTGGCAGGGTGGAGGAGGTCAGATAGATACGGAGGGGCCAGGTTGTGAAGTGCTTTGAAAGCGGTGAGTATTTTGAAGTTGATGCGCTGTTTAGCAGGAAGCCAGTGGAGTTGTTGTTGTACGGGGGTGATGTGGTGAGCTGTGGGGGTCCGGGTGATGATGCGAGCTGCAGAGTTCTGGAGGAGTTGCAGTAGTCAGTCCTAGAGGTGACGAGGCTGTGGACGAGGATGGCGGTGGTGTGGGGGGTGAGAGAGGGGCGGAGACGAGAGATATTGCGCAGGTGGAAGTAGGCAGGCCGAGTGTTATTGTAAAGACATGTGAGAGAGTGTGTGGATGTGAGTTTTAGCTGTTGGAAATATTCTAGCTGGAAATGTAGCATAAACTTCTAAACTGATTAAAAATAGATCAAAAGTTTCTCAAACTTGGCAAAATATATCTTAATTTGAGCTCATTCTGACTGCTTAAAACAAGATTTGTCAGTGGGACAAAGCAAAATGATCTTGTTTTTAAAAGATACAAGAAATGTCTGTCTTGAAATGAGAAAATAACATGCAACAGTTCAGAAATAAGACTAAACTGCTTTGCCTCATGGGAGATTCTTGTTTACAGACAGTCAAAATGATCTCCAATTAAGATCAAAACCACTTGATTTAAGCATTTATCACTTTTAGTTGTGTAGCAGTAGGAATGACATTTGTGTTGGGTTGTGAGAGTGTACTCTCTGTCTGTGTGTGTGTGTGTGTGTGTGTGTGTGTGTCTGTGTCTATCCTACTCTCTGTCTGTGTGTGTGTCTGTGTCTGCCTGTCTGTGTCTATCCTACTCTCTGTCTGTGTGTGTGTGTCTGCCTGTCCTTCTTTCTATCTGTCTCTGTGTTTGTGTCTGTCTCTGTCTCTGTGTGTGTCTCTGTCTGTCTCATGTTGTGATTTAGGGCTATACAAAAATACATTGAATCGACATCATTTCAAAAAGAGATTTTCCGGATTGTGTTATCCTCCGTTCGTCTCGCTGAGGTATGATGAAAGCTACAGACATCTCTCATCTTTTTAGGAGAGACGACTTGCAAAATCGGTGTCTGACTAAATCCCTACTCTGCCGTTTGTGTTCACTTGTCTTAGAGCAGCACCATGTTTTTTCCAATGATTTGATTTATTCCAGAGTGAATCCTGATCCGTTTTGTGGGTGTTGTTTGCAGGTCGGTCTGGAGGTTGGGGCCCGGTGCGAGGTGGACGGTGGGGGGAAGAGAGCTGGAGGAGGCCCATCAGGAGTCACCCGTACCCCCCTGCAGCAGCCAGGCCTCTCACCTGGGGCTGGTGATCTCACACAGCAGGCTTCACTAATGTCATGCGTCACAATACAAAGCAATAATACATGTTTTTCATCAAGTTTTCATCAATGTCACAGATTTTCTTTGCAATACGTAATGATGTGAGCTGTTGGTTAGGGAGGACCAGAACTTTCAAAAATAAAAAAATAGATACATATTCACATTGGTAAAAAGAATTATTAACATATCACTTCAAAGTCTGAGATTAAACAAATATATATTTTTATTTGTCTTGTGTTTTTTTTTAAATGTTTTTTCTTTTTAGTAGATCCAGGACTGAGGCTGTAGATCCAGGACTCTGAGGCTGTGTAGATCCAGGACTGAGGCTGTGGATCCAGGACTGAGTCTGTAGATCCAGGACTGAGGCTGTAGACCCAGGACTGAGGCTGTAGATCCAGGACTGAGTCTGTAGATCCAGGACTGAGGCTGTAGACCCAGGACTGAGTCTGTAGATCCAGGACTGAGGCTGTAGACCCAGGACTGAGGCTGTAGATCCAGGACTGAGTCTGTAGATCCAGGACTGAGGCTGTAGACCCAGGACTGAGTCTGTAGATCCAGGACTGAGGCTGTAGACCCAGGACTGAGGCTGTAGATCCAGGACTGAGGCTGTAGATCCAGGACTGAGGCTGTGTAGATCCAGGACTGAGGCTGTAGATCCAGGGGAATGCAGACCAGTCCACAGGTGCAGATGAAACAGACAATGGGACAGCGGATGAATAACAATGAACAGACTACAGCTGAACTAATAACACCGTACGCAGCTTGACTGACAATCTGTGAAATGGGACTAATTTTATAAGCGATAAACTTTACGTTGGAGGAGAGAGCGGTGAAAGCACAAACTGAATGTGAGCGAGTGTGGAGCAGAGATGTGGGTTTGTGCTTTGTGTCTGACTGGGAAGTGTGCATTTGTATCTCTGCTCTGTCCACTGTGGCCTTATTTGGCCCCTTGTATTGCTTCAGCTCTGGCTCATATCCATCCTCTGTGCATGGAGCCCCATCCCCGTCTTCAATTACATCCCATAAATGTCAGGCCAGCGCTTGGCCTCACGGGGCAGCGGCGGACGTGACACGAATACTGTTTCTCTCTGTGTTCCTATCTGCACACACACACACACACACACACACACACACACATACACACACACAGTACACACACACATACACACTGCAAAAAATGATAAAATATGAGGTAATAACTGGTTGAATTGAGTGGTTTCTATCTTAACTTGAGTACATTCTGACTGAATTATAGCAACAAAAACCCAGACATTTTATTATGTGTGAAAGTTCTGTCTCCTGGCTAACACTACAATCTTGGTATTTCGTTCCAGGCAAAGGGGACACATCACAATTAGTTGCTCTCTATATATAAATATATTAGACTAGTAATTTTAGGGTTCAGTGAATTTGGTTAAGGTTAGGGATAAAGTAAGGGCTACACTGCAAATAGTGATAGAATACGAGTTAAAAATAGCTGAAAATAATTGAATTGAATGGTTTTTATCTTAATTTGAATACATTCGGAGTATCTTAAAACAAGATTTGCCAATGGGACGAAGCCATTTAGCCGTATTTCAAGATCTGTTGCTATATTTTCTCATTTCAAGGGACATATTTCTTGTATTTTTTTAACTGAAGATAATTCCGTTTGTCCCATTGGCAAATCTTGTTTTAAGGCAGTCAAAATGTGCTCAAATCAAAGATTCATTTTTCCAAATTTGAGCAATTTCTGACTTGTTTTTCATCGCTTTTTGCAGTGCGCGCGCACACACACACACACACACACACACACAGAACAACTGATACAGACGTTTGTTAAGAGATAGTGACTCCTGATTCAACACCGGAGATTCTAGCGCTGCTCTGTCTGTGACTCATTAAATCAGACGGCTCAGTCTCAGGGAAACTGTCGGTTCGTAGCATCCACAACGGAGGCATCATTCCTGTTGAAGAATTGTGTTTTGGTTGGAGGACTTGTGCCAATACAAGTCTAAGGAAAAGATTTTTGAAAGAAATGTTGAAAATAAAAAGTCAAAATGTTTCCCCCGATTTCATTGCGCCACAACCCAGACATTTTATTATGTCTGAAAGTTCTGTCTCCTGGCTAACACTACAATCTTGGTATTTCGTTCCAGGCAAAGGAGACAATTCAAATTAGTTGCTCTCTATATATAAATATATTGGACTAGTAATTTTAGGGCTCAGTGAATTTGGTTAAGGTTAGGGATAAAGTAAGAGTCAGAATTACATACCACTGGACGAAATACCAAGATAATATGTTTTTGAATAGTATCCACTTCTGGACATCTTTATGAGAAAATAATTAGTGGTGTGTGCTGACAAGATTTTGATGACGTTTTATGCTCCAGGAATGTGAGAGAAAGTTCTAAACTTAAGACTATAAATCGGATTTTGACAGTTGATAGTTACCAGGAAAGAGTTCTCTGCTGCCCTCCCACACAGCATTATACCACAAGCTCTTTGCAATGTTGTGATGTCACATGACCACAGCCTCTTACTTTAACTTTGTGCACTTGTGAAATTTTAAGTTATGTTACGCAGACATTTGATTTATTTTGTATACGTGCCTTATGCTATTTTTACTCACTACTTACTTATAACTTGTTTGCACCGAGAGCCAAAGGATTTTCTTAAGTTTGTGACTTCCTGTTACTCACAATGATAATAAATAATAATTCTGATTCTGACAGAGAAACTCCACTTTGTGTAAAAATGAGTCCTTGGCCGATTCTTTGTATAAAAAAGTTTATGTAACAATTTAAAAGTCATAATACGCAGCAAATGACATTCAAATCAACATGAGCAAGCGGAGTGTGTCCTGGACCATGTAAACAGCTGTGATTGGCTCTTCTCCTCCAAATACAGACAATAAATTATCAACGTGTGGAAACAAAACATAAGATTGTGGTAATTCAAGCATCTCTGGACACACTCCGGGTTTATGAAGACACCTCTTTGGCACAGAACATAAATCATGATCAAGAAAAGAAACTTGTAAACGATAACAATGGAACGGTCAATACAAAATGCAGGTTTATACAGACGACATTGATGCGATACAAAAACTGATTCTTTAAAAATGATTTGGCAAATGTGAGAGTGCCCCAGTGGTTTCTCAGTCTGCAAGGCCCCAGTGCAGAGCCACGTCGAGAGGGTGCTTAGCTGGGACTGGACCGGACCCGACGACAAGAGAGGGACTGGACCAGGAGACTAGAGAGAGAGACTAGATTGAACTGCCAGAGGGAGAGACTGGACCGAACTGCCAGAGAGAGACTGGACCGAACGGCCAGAGAGAGACTGGACCGAACTGCCAGAGAGAGACTGGACCGAACGGCCAGAGAGAGACTGGACCGAACGGCCAGAGAGAGACTGGACCGAACGGCCAGAGAGAGACTGGACCGAACTGCCAGAGAGAGACTGGACCGAACGGCCAGAGAGAGACTGGACCGAACGGCCAGAGAGAGAGACTGGACCGAACTGCCAGAGAGAGAGAGACTGGACCGAACTGCCAGAGAGAGAGAGACTGGACCGAACTGCCAGAGAGAGAGAGACTGGACCGAACGGCCAGAGAGAGACTGGACCGAACGGCCAGAGAGAGAGACTGGACCGAACGGCCAGAGAGAGAGACTGGACCGAACGGCCAGAGAGAGAGAGACTGGACCGAACTGCCAGAGAGAGAGAGACTGGACCGAACTGCCAGAGAGAGAGAGAGACTGGACCGAACTGCCAGAGAGAGAGAGAGACTGGACCGAACTGCCAGAGAGAGAGAGACTGGACCGAACTGCCAGAGAGAGAGAGACTGGACCGAACAGCCAGAGAGGGACTGGACCGAACTGCCAGAGAGAGAGAGACTGGACCGAACAGCCAGAGAGGGACTGGACCGAACTGCCAGAGAGAGAGAGACTGGACCGAACAGCCAGGGAGAGAAAGACTGGACTGAACTGCCAGAGGACAGACTGGACCGAATGACCAGAGACCAGACACTGGACCGGACAACCAGATGGACCAGACAATACTCCAGTGCCCGCTGAGCTTTAAACCACTGAGTTAAAGTTTCTTTACTCTCCTGCTGTAACTTCGTACCTTACTTTCTGTTTTCTTGCCTTATACACACTCACCCAGCCAGAGATTTTCTAGTTTTGGCCATATTTTGTTAATGAATAATGACACAAATATGTGTTTTCTTCTTTGTTGACTTATTTTTGATCACTTTGTGCATTTCAGGAGCTTGGCCTGGAGTAGGTTTGTGGTCTTTAAAGCAGACAGAAAGCAGTGGAGTATTTTCTCTCTCTGTCTCTGAGTCCAAGGCCTTCTCTGTGGGGATCTGAGGCCGGACCCCGACGCGTCCCGTGGTCGTGTCTCCAGGTTCCGCCTTGAGCTGGTCCTCCGCCGCCGTGCGCTCGCCCAGCCAGAGTCTCTTTAGTGCAAATAGGCGGTGAGCTAGTGGCGGTCGGGGGAGCGGGGGACAAGGTCATTTTCGAGGCGGAGATGAGGCTGTGTTTGGTTTGGCACCTGGGACCGGTCTGAAAAAAGGGGACGCGGGAAAAAAAAAAACAGATTTTAAGTCAAGGCAGTTCATGGTTACAGCTCTTTGAAGAAACATCAAGAGGTTTCTGTGAGATTAGATTTTTAGTGTAAAGTGTGGAGACACATGGGAGTCCTGTTAGATAACTCAGACAAAACATGTTTGTTCATTGATTTTAAGCTGTGGTTCCCAAGTTTCAAACCACAAGAAAGGTAACTCCACATTTAACATGTTTTTAAATTTGTGGATGTTTTTTTTATTACACTCTTAAAGTACATGAAGTACTAAAGTACAGTTATGAAAATGTAAAAAAAATGTAAAAATATGTCAACAAATATTTTTTTCATTTTAGGTAACAACTTTTGCGAATGAGCCGAAAAAACATCTTAAGCCTTGTGCCATCCTCGGGTCAAATTCACCCGCTACAGTGAATTAAAAAAAACCTACATTATTTTTGTGTTTCAAGCTGAACTGTGAATACTTTTAAAAACTTGACCAGCACCGGATCATTTTTGACCATATTTTCGGGTCTAGGAGGTTTCTACATAAACCCGAGGGTTAAAAATCATTTTAAATAACAATAAGGCTTAATCAAAAATGTTTATTATAACTAATCAGAAATGTGAAAGTGAAAAAGCCCAACACAAAAATACCTACTGCTGCTGAGCTCATTTGTGGCTGAAGATCAAACTCTCAATACTTTCACAGCATAAAAAATATCACCGCCAATTACTCTTTTGAGTTAAAACGAACCTAATATTTATTTATTTATTTTTATTTTATTATTTTTATCTTCCTTATTTTCTCTGTCATTCTATTTTGCAACATTTTCTAGATTTTGTTTCCTCCTTGTAAAATGTAAAAAACTTTTTATAAAACGATCCCCACTTCACACAGTCCTGGGCAGTCCTGGGAGTGCTTACCTGAGTACTCTGAGAGGGGGGATGGCTGTGACTTTGCCCACAGGTTTGGGTCCCACAGCGGGAGGCATCATGACCTTGAGGCCTGGGGTGGGCCGGAGCTTCACGCTGGGAGAGGGCCCCCGCACCGGGCTCAGGGGGAGGGGTCTCTGAGGAGCGAAGGCCGAGGGCGCCGCTGGTAACTCAGACACCAGCTGCAGATGAACAACGACACAGTTTGTAAAGTTTGTGACGCTTTCTTGTGGGCGGGGCTTAACTGTGGTCATATGAAAAGATACGGTTTCAGACAAATCCTAAACTAAATCTTCTTAAAGGGACAGTACCTAATATTCTGTCTCATTACAATCACACTTTTGTTGCCAGAATCTTCCTTCCTGTGGCACAGTAAGCACTGATTACTGATGCAAACCACCTGCTGGGGTTCAGAAAGTACAGTACAAACCCTGTATATTACTGTATATTTTGTATTTGCTCTCATTTAACTATGTGTGAAGCTATTTTTGTTTGTTTGTGAATTTTGTTTTTTATTATTATGAATATATTATCAAACACAACAATAAGCTTTGTAGCATTTAGGTTAAAACAAATTCAGAAGCACAAATGAGTCCTTCACCTTTTCGGCCTCTGGCTAACCTGTGGGCGGAGCTTAGCTGGAGGCTAAAACATACACATGTCAAAGCAAACATTTAACATAACACTGAATATAAAAACAGTCAGATGAACGTCTTGATCAAATGAAAAGCTTCTGGATGTAACAGACTTGTTTGTGCATCAGCTTCACACACACACACACAGACACACACAACACACACACAAACATGAACACGCTTGTGATCTCGATCTCGTGGCTTCAATGGCGCAAAAACAACACGAGTCCCACAAGAGCAGAATCCTGTCGTCTCGTCAGCAGTGATTAAACTCAAACTCGGCCACAGAGCTGCAGTCAGACTGTACATTGGCCCTCATTTACGAAACTTGCGAGAACATGCAAACTCCACTCAGAAAGACCCTGTTCCAACCCGGATTCGAACCCAGAACCTTAATAAACCTTAATAAATAAATATTAATAGTCTCAGCGGTGGCTCTCATAATAAAAGCGTCTGCAGCATCTTGTGAATGCAATGAAGCGAACACTTGAGAGAGGATGAGAAGCGTTGGGGAAGTTGTGCTCTAGGATTTGACAGAGAAACTCTGGAGCCAAAACTTCTGAACTTCTGAACGACCAAACACCATCCATTCACTCTCTCATTACATCCATACCTATTATGCATGATTTTATTGGTCGGGGAAACCGGAGCACCTGGCGGAAACCTACAGTAACACAGGGAGAACATGCAAACTCCACTCAGAAAGGCCCTGTTACGACCAGGATTCGAACCCAGGACCTTCTTGCTGAAAAATGGAGAATGTTAACCACTCTCATGTGTGATAATATGTGTTTCAATGAATGTAACTTTATTGATCTCACAAAGGAGAAAAGTACATGTATCAAAACATGTTTTTGGTCATTTTTAGATCCAGTTTGAAAGAGCCAAAGGAGCACACCCGCTGCACTGAGGCATGGCTCTATGGAAATATTGTTTTGTTTTTCCTTACAAAGTACTTCAATAAATGCAGTGTTTTGCTGCGACTCTTACTGCGCAGAAGTAAATGGACTGGAACAATATTTAGATTTTGCATGACTGTAAATATCCCACGGACTAAGCTCAGCTGAAGCAACCACGTCATTGAAGTTCAGTTACTTTAGAATCAGAAAAAGGGGGTGGGATTTTAAAAGTCTTAACTTCTTCCTGCTCCTTTTCAAGCTGGATTTGTAATAAAACAAAACATACTGTATGTATATTATCACGTATTGTTCATTTCTTTCGTTCTTTGTTCTTGTTTGCCATGGCTCGAAATAAAGTATTCATTCATTAGGACGAAAGGGCAGAGGCCTGTATAGACCCTGTATGGACCCAGTATTGACCCTGTATGGACCCTGTATGGACCCTGTATAGAGCCTGTATAGACCCTGTATGGACCCTGTATCGAGCCTGTATAGACCCTGTATGCCCCCTGTGTAGACCCTGTATGGACCCTGTATAGACCCTGTATGCACCCCGTATAGACCCTGTATATACCCTGTATGGACCCAGTATAGAGCCTGTATAGAGCCTGTATAGACCCTGTAAAGAGCCTGTATGGACCCTGTATAGACCCTGTGTAGACCCTGTATGGACCCTGTATAGACCCTGTATAGACCCTGTAAAGAGCCTGTATGGACCGTGTATGGACCCTGTGTAGACCCTGAATGGACCATGTATGGACCCTGTATGGACCGTGTATGGACCCTGTATAGACCCTGTGTAGACCCTGTATAGACCCTGTATATACCCTGTATGGACCCAGAATAGAGCCTGTATAGAGCCTGTAAAGAGCCTGTATAGACCCTGTATGGACTGTGTATGGACCCTGTATAGACCCTGTGTAGACCCTGTATGGACCCTGTGTAGACCCTGTATGGACCCTGTATAGAGCCTGTATAGACCCTTTATAGCCCTTTATTGTCATGGTGTGGATTTTATTTTGTATTTTGGTTTTATTTTGACATCTGTTCTCTGTGCTTTGGTTTTAGTTTGACTTTGACGTCCTGTATGGACCATGTATGGAGCCTGTATGGACCCTGTATGGAGCCTGTATAGACCATGTATGGACCCTGTATAGACCCTGTATAGACCATGTATGGACCCTGCATAGACCATGTATGGACCCTGTATAGACCATGTATGGACCCTGCATAGACCATGTATGGACCCTGTATAGACCATGTATGGAGCCTGTATGGACCCTGTATAGACCATGTATGGACCCTGTATAGACCATGTATGGAGCCTGTATGGACCCTGTATAGAGCCTGTATAGAGCCTGTATGGACCCTGTATAGACCCTGTATAGACCCCGTATAGAGATAGAGGTCCTTGTTTATCACTGAGGCTTCGCACTGATTACAAAGCAATGTGATTTTTGATTGTCGTCATTGAAAGTGATTTTTGTCCTGAACTCTCTCAGATGATGGTGTTTCTGGGCAGGTTCCAGCAGTTCCCGCTTCTCAAACCATTCCACCGTTATCAAACACGGCTATCAAAGCAGCGCTGTGCCCGGGGGAAGTCCATCCTTCTCCGACTGTTGCCATCTTTCAACTTTGGATGCGAACCGCCGAGACCACACACGAGTCAAACAGCTCCGTGGATTCTGTATTTTTCGACTAAATCCAAAAATGTGTGTAATATTATGAAAACATCCAGCTCCTCTTGAGTCAACCCCCGAAAGCTTAAAAAACTGATATTTTCTAAGCAGCGAATGTTTCTGAACTACTATTTGCAAATCGCTGCAGAAAAAAACAAAAAGAGAAATGTTGGATCAAGGTTGAATAAATGTTGTGCTTTGGTGAAGTGAGGTTTGCTGCCGGAGCCGGAACAACCTGCTTTAACAAATATTATTACAGTATACTATATTTTTGTTCATGACGACCTTTAAAGCCCAGGATCTCACTTTCAAACCATACACTTTAAAAAGCGATGAAAAAAATAAGTAAGAAATGTTTCAAGTTTGGAAAAATGTATTTTAATTTGAGCACATTTTGACTGCTGCATTAAAGCAAGATTTTCCCGTTTGAAGTTCTTGAAATGAGACTATTGTACATCTGATTGTAACATTTATGGACATTTATCTGCAGCTTATGGACAAATATGTGTTTTCTGTTCTATTGTGTTTGAACAGTGTTGGCAAATTCAACGGTTTTGTAAAGTCCTCCGAGATAAATACTGTTGTGATTTAGGACTAAGATTAAATTGAATTGATGTAGTTTGAAGATCGTCAGAATGTGCTCAAAATAAGATACAAACCACTTGATTCCAGCGTTCATTACCTCATATTTAATTATATTTTGCTTCGTGTGTTTTTGGCCTCTGTCACATCTTTAAAGTGATAGTCTGGAACTAAATGAATTACACATTTTAAGAATTGTATTTAATTTACCTCCTGGCCTTAAATGTTGATATTAAATAAGTCATTTTATAAGATAAGATAAGATAAGATTGCTTTATTTATCTCACAGAGGAGAAATTTACATGTCACATTTGGCATGGATAGAGACACTCAGATTGTGCAAAGGGAGGAAATGTGCAAACAAGTTACATGCAGGATATATGTACAATAAAGTGACAATAATTATGTACAACAAAAGTGACAAGTGTCAATTGGAAACAGTGTGAATTTTAATATTTAAGTCCCGCCTTCCCTTCCCTTAGCTATAGCTCAGAATCCACGATGCTGTCCACTTTAACCAATCAAGTGATGCCACGGGCTGTCAGCGTGGCTATAGCTTCGATAGTTTCTCTCACACAGTCAGAAGTAATTAGTGACCGGCGCTGAAAGCCCGTTGTGACAAAGTGTGCGAACTACTCTCCAGAGTAATCTTAGTATTTTACACCTGAAGTATAAGCACAGAGTGCGTTGCCAAAGGGCAGCGGTCATTATTGGTTTGAGAGGTCCGTTATTAAGAAATAATGATCGGTAAAACGTTTTGAAATTACAATCAAATCAATGGAGCGTTCTGCTGCTGCTGTGAGGAGCCGTGTAATAAATTATGATTAAATATTCAAATATTTAAGTTAATAATCTGTCCTCTGCACGTCTTGGACCCTTGGACCTGGGGTGTGCATTGAAAAGTAGGCGCGGCTTCAAGACCAATCAGAAAGGGTTTTTTTCAAATCATGTACCTCTCTCATTTTTTCTTTCTGACAAACTCCAGACAATCCCACTAAACATCCGACGTCCACTCAACCTCCAGATCACGTCAATATCGCGTCGGTCGGTCGTGACCTTTTATTTACGTCCAAACGACGTCTGTGCAAGGTGCGCATCTGGACGTAAAACAATGACCTCCCATATACGTGGATATGACGTTCAATCCCGACCTCCCCTAGACGTCGAAAACAGGTCATCGGCCGACCGACGCAGTACGTCTTACGTCTTAAGCAAACGTGTGCAGTCTTGGTTACGTGGGTTCGAGCCCACGTGTGTGTATTATTATCTTTATATATTTGTTTTGATTTTTAACGAACAATTTTTTCCTGTTTGGTTAAAGACTAATAAACACTCAACATAGGATTACGTAGTGGCTAATAATAAAACTTGTGAATGTATGCATTTG